GATATAGTTGCCTGAGCCGGGGCTGCTGTTGGGGGCAGTACTGGATCCTGAGGTACTGGATCACCATGCTCCACCCCTTCTTCTTGTTCAACCCGGGGTACTTGGACTCCCTTTGCGGATTTCCCCTCCTTTTCTGAGTCGAATCCTTCTTAGTTCTACCTTGAGCCACAATAGTAGCGATGGTTTCTTAAGAAGCATCCTGAGTGTCGGTGTCAGAGTTGCGAGTACGATCCATTTCTGCGACTTTTGGAGAAACAAATAAATTAGATAATTTCTTAGAGGTAGACTCTATTGCACGATCTAAAGTATGAAAAAAGAGACTTTTCCTAAATGATTGTAGCCTCATGTTTATAAGTATGGCCCGCTTCATACACATAAACAAGACTCTACTAACACGGCTTCATAGACCCCTAGGACTCCATAAGCCTGAGGCTCTAATACCAAGTTTGTCACGACCCATTTTCTGAACAAGCCGAGACCGGCACTCGATCACTAAACATGACCGAGCGAACCATCTCTGCTTATCAACCCTATTATAACTCCAAACTTTATATGCAACAAAGCAATACTCTAAACAAATACTTTTGATTAATTCAAATATTTAAATAAATCAATTCCAAAGCTTTATTTGTAGTAACTACTGAATTACTGCTAAGTTATTATAAAATAACATCTGAATCTCAACCCAATGACTATGTCTATGAAGCCTCTACTGATAAACTGACGCACTGCTCAGGACATGAGATTTCCTGGCCAGTTCTCTAAATAAACAAAGAAATAGCTAAATGAAAATGACTCTAAGAATACTCCACGAACAAAAGCGGAGCTCACCAATATCACTGGAAGGGAAGGAAGTCCTAACTCGTAGCCTGCTCGCCTGCAAATCCGGTTCCTACGTTGTACCGCAGACCAACATAGGTTCCCAAAAGAGAGCGTCAGTACCATCTATTGTACTCAGTGAGTCTCAACAACAGGGGGAAAAACTTTAATATCATAACATTACGAGCAAAGGTTCTAAATGCATGTAAGACATAAAGCTTATAAGAATAATTCTAAAATAATTGCATAATAGCAATTTACGAATATTCTAAAAGGAATTCTTTTCTTTTTCTTTCTTTAAAAAAAAAATACTTCACTTTATACTTTGGGAGTTCCAACTATCCTGACTTAATTCTGTCTCAGTCACCGTATGATCGACACGGGTTCGATCCCAACCTGATCGAATAGGCCCAATCCACGAGGTGCCACTCACTTTATGGTTCTCAGCGCTCATATATCATACCTTAGCATGACTAAGTAAATTCTCAGCAACGAGACCCTCAGCTTGTGTGCTCTCTACTTTGGCACAAGTAGTTTCAGGAAGTCAACGCCTTGGTCAGGACCCTCGACCTGGACGATGACCCCTTCTCAGAATAAGAGATACTCCCCAAAAATCTTTTCTTTCTAAAACTTCTTCTTGTGACTTTTGAAGTCTAAATCTTTTCTTTATAGAACATTATGTGCATGCTCATATTGGTGTCCTTAAATGTAAAGCATGGCATAAGAATGAAATAAACATATAAAAATATTTCTAAAGATTCTTTCTTCTTCATAATTTTCAACATGAAAATAGCATGTAAGAATAACACAACAATCTGAAAATTTTAAGCACATATAGCATAATAGATCATCTAAACTTTTGCTAGAACAATTCTAAATTAATGGGTACTCACTCGTTCTAATTAAATAAAGATAAACTCTTTTAAGCAATTCATCAAACACCTTGTATGCGTGCTTTTGTGAGTTAAACCACTTTAGTAAAGAGTTATATTAACTCACCTCAAAACTTCTCGAGCCAATACGTAGCCCCAGTTCAATTGACACCAGTCAAACAATCGATTCTACAATAACCAGTACGTTTTAATTAATTTTTTTAAGGTACTACACTAAAATATGAAATTTATTGTTGATATAGAGGAAGAAGGGAATTAACTATTCTATTCTTATCTATTACTATTATAGAGTAATTGACAATAGGGGATTTTATATACCTGAGTTCAAGAATTAGTGATTTGTAAGAAACCCTAGATTTTTCCGCTGCCTGTGAATAAATGGAGCCTCTGTTTCGTGAGGAACGATTCTGTTTTTTTTTTTTAGCTTTTGCTTTCCGTCCTTTTTGATAACGTTCTGCCTCTCTTTTAAGGCTTGGGGGCTATTGTTTCAAACAGCCCTTTTTACGGGCTTTTAAGCCTTTTTCCATTTTTTTTTTAAATTACTACTAACTAATGATACCCTTTNTGATATTTTCTTAATTATATATCCAATTATATATATATATATATATATAGGCAAGATAAAAATAATAAAAATAGTAATAAATTAGTTCTATAGTTAGCGTGTCTCGAAACTTTTATAATTTTGGGGGAGTGTTACATATGCCTTCTCTAGAACCATCTAGCAGGGACTTAATTAAATAACAAAAACAGCTAAGCTAATGCTAACAATACGGGTCACTACTACTTGGGCTGAAAAAAACAAAGAAACTATTGGGTTGTCGAATCATTGGGCCTGCTACATACGAGGCTTAAATATGTAGTTGTATTAGCTTAGGTCTTGCCTCATAAAGTAATTGTATTTAGTGTTTACATTAAACCAATAAATATACTTTGATCCCTAATCCAAGTTTTTTTTTTGACTGAAACTATATAAGTACTTTGATTCAGTAAAATAAGCCGGTCTCATGGTAATTCGAGATCAACTACTAATTGTAGTTATATTTATATTTAATTTTGAGGCGTAGACTCATGTGTGTTACTAATCATGGGACGATAGGTTATAAGGTATAAAGCATAAGTTGTAAAAAAGAAATACGATTTTTTTTTGAAGGTGCACAGTAATAATATATCTACATGAAATATACTACTAATGCACTTATAGAGCAAAAATATATCCTAGAAGTCATAGTCAAATAGTTTTAAAAATGTCACTATGATGTATTATATAGAAAATTCAAGGCACAACAATTGTGTATTAGCATGTCTATTTAACGAACCAGATATTCGATAATTAGCTCATAATAGTTATAAGACCTTACATACTGATTTTGATTAATAGATTACTTAAAAAGGCATAGAATAACCCACAATTTATTATAGTGAGGAGTCATAGGAGGTTGAATCTCTTGGAAATTATTAGGATTAGACAAGAAAGGGAACAAAATAACTGCGTGATATGGCGGCTTGTGATTGGGCTCTCCAACGAAGCAATGCTGACAAGGAATTTTGAATACATCACAACAGATCCAAGATCTACTGCACTTTCAACCCCCTCGTCCCTCGCTTCTCAATACCCATCTTCTTCTCCAATTTTCCCTCCATTAATTTTCCTATCTCAAAAGAGAAGCATCAAATATGTTTCGATCAGCGGTGGCAATATGGATTCTGCTCTATCTTGTCATCTCTCCCTCCATATTTATCATCTGTTTGTCAGAACAACACCCAACCAATCTTATGGCAGCTAAAAGGAAGCGTATGAGCGACAGAGTTCGCGAAATGTAAGCCTAAACTTGTCTCAATCGCCTATATTTAATTAATATCAAATAAAGACGATTTCCTATTCAAAAACTTGAAAAGGCTTTTGATGAGTATATCGTCTGAAGTTTAATTTCCTCGCAAATTACACATGAAGTAGATATAATATGCTCATTTTCATATTCCATTGTCATTTTCTAGCATACAAGAGGGGAGGAGAGTACAATTAACATAATTTGCTTGTTAAAATCCTACATTATTAAATTAAGTTTTCTGGTGTGGCAGGTTTTACCATGCTTATGATAACTACATGATGTATGCTTTTCCGGTGAGACAAACCTCTGCATTTATTTTTCCTATTCATACCATCTGCTGCAATTGAATATGGCTCCAGATAATACCAACTCAAGGTACTTTTTTTTTGCTATCCAATTTTTGTGGCAGCATGATGAGCTGAAACCTCTGAGCAAAGCCTACACAGATTCTCTAAGTGAACTTGGAAATTTGAAGGTAGGAGTATGTCTTTAATTTTACGTCACTCAGAGAATTCTCATTGAAGAACACAAGTTATTTTATTACTAATTGTATAACCGTTTTACCATGTGTGGCGATATTTAGCTTGAACATCTGCCGCAGCAGTACAATGGATCAGCTCTTACCCTAATTGAATCACTCTCCAGGTGGGTTACACTTGTTGTTCTTCTTGCAACTCAGAACCAATTATATATCATTTTTATTTTGGACCATTTATTTTTTTTCATCCATATTTTGTTCCAGCCTCGCAATCTTGGGTAACTACACTGAGTTTGAAAAGGCTATTCTTTGGCTATCCGAAAATCTATCATTTGATGTTGATGCAAGGATAAATCTGTTTGAGGTAATACATACATTGTAACATTTACATTTCTTTGTAAGGTCTAATTGGGTGATTGTGCTTGCCTTGTGTATCTTCAATTTTTTTCTCGCAATTAGTACTTTTGATAACCATATTTAAGTAGTATTTCCAAGCACTCAATCAAGGAGGATATATGCGCTGGGTCACGTTTTATTCAAGTCGCTTAATAATTTTTCTCTTTTCCTGATCACCAATTGTAGTGCAACATAAGAGTTCTTGGAGGACTTGTTTCTGCTCATATTCTTGCCACTGATTCTACGAACAGGTTGGTTCAAGGAACTTATAAGAATCAACTCCTTGACCTGGCTGAAGATTTGGGACAACGCTTTCTACCTGCTTTCGATACTCCAACCGGATTACCTTATGCTTGGATCAACTTAAAGGTGTACATATCATCAATCTTACTGCTTTCTTGTTTGGTAATTCTTATCACAATGTATGCAAGAGATACTCATAGAGAGGTACTTCTGGACAACATAACTAAAAAGCAAGGAAATGCTTGATGGAAATAAATCAGTTGAAGAGATATTCAAGTTAGTTTATGCTTTTACTTTAAGGTCAAGATATTATGATAACCTTGTCGATTACCATTTTAGCAAGATATTCTTTATTATGACAGCTGTCTTATCAAGGAAGGAAATTAAAGAACAAAAATATACCCTTCAATTATCAAGTTTGGCATCTTGACCTAGTACAATTATGCACATAATTAAGACAACATTAGTGGGGATAAAAAGGGAACCTTTTCTATGAATTTACTGTTATTAAGAACACAGGCACTGGATTTTGGACAATTTATTTGTGTAGTCACTTAATTTTATGATTTCTTGATTGAGATAATTAATTTCAAATTGTGTTTACTTACGCTGAAGCTCAATTTTTTATTATGCTTACATCCCGATCAGCTGCAGTTTAGTTCCTGCCTAATGCCAGTTGCGTTTGAAGCTTTCAAAGTTATTATTTTCATGATAAAAACTCCCTTTACTGATATCTCTGGTCCAACTTTAGACCAGGTCATCTAATTTAAATGTGCTTGGCGGACCATTTACGCCATTGACTTGTGTCCTGCATAATGCCGGGTACATTTGATATAAGAAATACTACAAATATGCAACCAACTTTTGATTTTCTTTTTCCCTTGTCCAGTTAATACGTGTTACTGTGACAGAAATATGAGAAAATAAGATTCTGTTGATTTATTCCATCTAAAAAAAGATTCAGTTGACTTATGGAAATATTTTGTTGCACCTAAATTCGTCTTAGAATACTTTTAAAGATTTTCAAAACCTTGCTTGCCATTGATCAGTCCATGACTTGCACTATTGTATGTCACATAAGTTCTTGCATAGCAAGTAGAACTTGTTTTTAGAAGAATTATGGGGGTGATGTGTTGCACTTGATCTGTGAAAGATGAACTTATGACACGGTAAATGCAACATGTGACAGCATGGTGTAATGGCGGATGAGACAACTGAAACGAGCACATCTGGATGTGGTAAATTACTTCTTCGTTCCTACATTACCTCTTTATCTCTTTCCCTGAACTTTTATAGCTTCCATCAAATAGATTTCACCAGTGACCAGCCTCCAATGAAGTCTTAGCATAACATTATTGGATTATTTTTCCATTTTACTAGGTTCTCTAATCCTTGAAATGGGTACATTATCACGTTTAACCGGTGATCCAAGATTTGAGACGGCAGCTTTGCGTGCTCTTCGTAAGTTATGGAGCATGCGGAGTTCTCTAAATCTTCTTGGCACTACACTGGATGTAGCAACTGGAAACTGGATTGAGTATTCTTCTGGAATTGGAGCTGGTATGATTCTGTAGTATAGCACATTTTAGGAGAATTCTCCACTGCTGTAGCTAGATAATGCCCCCACCCTTCCTTGTTTTATCCATGTCTCTGAGCAACATGTAATCTCTTTATATGTCATTGCTTTTTTGCTGTTTTTTAGGTGTGGATTCATTCTATGAATATCTAATGAAAGCATATGTTCTATTTGGAAGAGATGAATTCTGGAAGATGTTTCAATCTGCTTACATTGCTGTGCAGAAATACTTTAGGCATGGCCCGTGGTACTATAATCACACCTTATCTGGAAATTTTGGATTCTTTGTTGTTGTTGTATCTCCATCATCTCAAGCAGTTAATCTGATTATTGTTTCATTAGCCTCGGCAGTTCTCATATTCAGCAGTCAGACCAAGATCACAACATTTAATTTTGTGTAGGTATCATGAAGCAGACATGAGAACTGGAAAAGCAACATACTGGCAGCTCACAAGCCTTCAAGCATTCTGGCCCGGTCTGCAAGTAAGAAGGAAATCTGTAGCTTATAAATTCATAGGAAAACTTATGTAATTCTTTGTTGTGAATGAGGACATATAGTCCACGTCTGCACATCCGTTCTCTTTAATAAAATACTCGTTTCTTATGTACGTAAAAGAAAAACTCTAGTGAAAACTGGAGGTGATAACCAAGGTGATCTTTGTGGTCTCAGGTTCAAGTTGGGGATATCGATGCAGCTAATTCATCACACCGCGAATTTTTCAAGGTGTGGAAGCAATATGGAGTACTTCCAGAGAGGTAAGATGTTTCTCCTCCATTCTTTCCTTTGTTTTCTTAAGCCCTTTTTCCTGCTTCTCCCACTATTTTCCTTGCGATAAGCTAGCTCTAGCATAATTGGTTTTACCTGTGATGGTTGTTTTCCTTATAGGAACCTTTTCAATAATTTAGGTATCTGCTGGACCATCAGATGTTGCATCCTACTGAAAAATACTATCCTTTACGCCCTGAATTGGCAGAGTCCACATTTTACTTATACCAAGCAACCAAAGGTGTATGACTCTTCTTTTTGCCCAGTCATAATTTTGGTTTCTTCAAAATAGCCGTTTTTAGCTTCTAAAATTTGTGATAAAGACAATCTCTTCTCAAACTTTCAGTAATATTTTTCTCTTAACAGATCCATGGTACATGGAAGTGGGTGAATCAATAATAAATTCTCTGAATGCACACACAAGAGTTAAAGGTGGCTTTGCCAGCATTAGGGACGTGACTACAATGCAATTAGAAGACCATCAGCATAGTTTCTTCCTAGCAGAAACGTAAGCCTTTTTGAATCTTCATCTTATTTGCATAACACGTACAGTATGGAAGCTGACTGATGTTTGATCAAGTCTCCCTCCACATGTGATGATTGTCCATGCAATTATGGCTGCATAATTCTCTCCTGATTTCTGCAGGTGCAAGTATTTGTATCTACTTTTTGATGATTCATTTCTCCTTAATCAAAATTACATTTTTACAACTGAGGGTCATCCCCTGCCTGTTAGACGCAGTTGGCATGAGAGGCTTCCTGAGGCTTATAATCTAAGTAATGGAAGTTCTGTCAAGGTATAATTTCCTTCCCACTAACAATTGTGTTTGGTCTGTGTTGTCTAGTTTTATACGTAAATTTGTTTCTTCGTCTGCTTTTCTTTCCATGAGCATTCCCTCCATTTCCAATGGCAAGTGGGTGCATCCTGAGTCAGTCCTTGAAGAGAAATAGTCTTATCTGCTGCATCATATCACAAACTTGCACATCTTAATGCTGACCCTTCAGTGTTCATATATCCTGCTGTATTCGTATCTCTGTTATCTTACCTTTCAGTTTCTCAAGTACCTAGAGGTGGAAAACGAGTAGAAAACATACAGAAACTTTTAGTACTTTTATTTTGTATACTATTGGCATGATATGAGTTTAAATGAAGTAACATGGTCTATGAGGATTCATACAACCAACCCCAACTTGTTTGGGATTGAGGTTATAGTAATTGTTGTTGTTTCTCAAGTACCACCTAGAGGTGGAAAACGAGTAAAAACTCGATAAATCGTCCTATGTCAATCAGTTTAAATGGGCTTGGGTGATTCAGATTCTATTAGTTAGGCTTTTTCTTAATCGAAGGCCAGTAAAAGCACTTTATTTTTTTTTTCATATAAGACAATGTTTTTTAAACATTATTAGGCCGTCTCAACCTAGACGAGAAATTTGATGGTATTCAATGGTGGTCAATTGGTACCTATATTCTCCTGGACTCACAAAGTCCCTCTTTACTAGTATATTAATGAGATACATTTAAAGAAAATAGGATCATGATTTTTATCAAGTAGCAGAACATTGCTTGATAACTAACAAAGGACTTGGTCTGCTCGTTCTTGTCAAGTTGAGGAGTGTGTCTACCTTGGTCTGTTCACAAGTTCTTGCTTAGTTGATTGCACAACTCTTGTCATTTACACTAGTAAAAGCAGATAAACATGAGCTCAAGGAATGACTATTTATTTAACTTGCGTAGAATGGAGAGCAGATAAAACGAACCAGTGCCATGTCACTTCGAGTTTGTCCAGCTGCTATGATTCACCATGAATCGAATGAAAGGCGACTTGAAAGTGCTTGCCACATCCCTGATACTCGCGCTGATCACAGATGTTTCAGTGATGTTGATTGTGGTCTTGATGCCAACACCTGTAGACGGAGGTCATGCAGTATGGCTGGATACTGTGGTCTCTGGTCGTACATATAAAAGGATGTATATCTTCATATTCTTTTGCAACAGACAAGGTACACAGGTTTTAGGAAAATGTTCATTTTTGTATACTATATCTTAAGAGTCAAAAGGTAATACTAAGAGCATTCTCATGAGATATAGGTCAAGATTAAAATGTAAAACACACTCAAAAAGTTGTCACAGGAATTTTGTTTATATGTTTAAAAGCATTAAGAGCGTGCCGGAATGAAGTTAATCAAAAGATAAGCATTTTGCTGCCATAAGAATCATGTTGTTGGCTTGTTATTACTCTGTGGCTGTGTGGCATGTCTTATATTAGCAGTTCGAGCATGGTGAAAACAAGGAAGAGAAAGCAAAGAGGTAGATATTTGTTATTTATCTTTCACCTTGTTCTTGTAATCCAGGTGGAAAATTTTGAGAAATTTCTGCAGTATCTTCTGCGGTTTAACATCTCTACTAGTTGTGTCTGGTGTATTTTTTTTTTCCTTTTTATTGTCAATAATCATATTCCATGAAGCTTTGTTTAATTTGATTTTGCCATTGTTCTAGTTGGTTTCCTCGTTAATCATTACGTTTTTAGAGGTATTAACTTGTTGACATTGCCACTCTTGGAAACATCTTGAAGTCCAAGATATGAACTCCTTTAGGAAAAGTTCCATGCATTGGTTTGGGGATTTTAATATAAGTGTAATAGTCCTCACTCTTCACCTCCATTCTAATATTGCTAGTACACGTATTCTTATCCTGCATGAAATAATACATCTCGTAATACATGTATTATTTAGAGCCCGTTTGGCTATAAAAAATTCACCTTTTTTCCACTTTTTTTTTTTTTTTTTTT